ATTTTTTTTGTCCCTTTTAATTCTCATCTTGATTTCCCTTTCTCTCTCTCAAATTTGATTTCACACGTGTTTTCCTTAATCATATGGAGAGGGATATGATGAACCCATGTTTTGACCCATAATTTCTGAAATCAGATGGAGATGGATTCGATTAACCCACATCTGCCACCACCATCTTCACCTTCTATTCGTTATACTTCCTTACCAACATTTTTGGCCCATTTTCCCTTTTTCATTTGAAGGAAGTAATTTAGTTTTGTGTAAAATGGTTCTAGGTACAGGTGGTCTTGAGATGGTTCTTCTTGATCTACCTCCAAATCTGCTCTCATGTAAGAAGAAAAAATAATTAGAATCAAAACCTTTGCAACCAATGTGAATGACTTTTAATATAATTGTGCATGTTTATGTGTTCACCATCCCGTGAACTGAATGAGCGGAGTCATTCATCAAAGGCAAACAATATTTTGGATGTTGTTGTCATTGTGAAACCCCTGTTATGGCTTCATCACGAAGTTTTAAACCTATCTTAACCAGTTGACCCTAATCTTTCTATCTGATTCTTAGTTCTTCATCATGCTTCATCGTGAAAATGATTTTAATATTTTTAGTTTTAGTTTCAATTTCAGGTCGGTGGTATCATATTCATGTAGCTAGGATGTGATATGTATAAGTGTTTTTGGAGATGAAGGTGGATCTGGTGTCAAAAGAATTGGAGTGAAAACATCAAATATGTACCCAAGTGGATCATAGACATCACTTACTTTAAACCACTTGTATGATTTTCAACCATTAAAATCGTTAGTTTTTCATTATATACTTCTTATTTTTGTTTATGTGTGTATGTTAATTAGTTAGGTCTTGACCTCAAAAGAGATGACTTTAAAATAGAGAAAGGCCAAGTCAATGAAGAGGCACAAAATAAGAACAAGGGCATTTGGTAACTAGCTCTAAGTTTCTGATATTATAATTAGCACATGATTTAGAATAATGCAGACTTACACAAATTTAGTAGTTATTTGTTATTCTAGTTTGTAATGCTTTGTTAAGTGTTCAACCTCTCAACTAATTGTTATTCTAGGTAACATACTTTTAATAACCTTTACATGAAATGATGATGCAAACTTATAGAAATTTAGTAGTTATATAAGACCCGAGTTCCTTATTTTGGAAAGAACAATTATTCAAGTGTCTGTTCCCAAAACTACATTCTATCTTGGTGCATTTTTTTTCAATGATTTTCAAGTAAGATACCCCCTAGATTACAAAGTTTGGCATTTTCAAAGTTATGTTATAACAAATAGTCACTATTAACAAAATGTTTAACTTTTTTACTTATTTTCTTTAGTCTAGTTAGGAACCTTTACTGAAGGATGTTTTTGGTGATTGGAATTGACAGAGAGACTGAGAAGGAAACATGTTGCATTTTTCCTGATGTGGAGTATTTTCAGCCTTAAAGTTAAAAATTTGAAGGCTCCCATGGTTGGTATTGACAAATTGGAGGTAAGCACTTTCTTACCATCACTTTTCTTTTTGGTTGTTTTATGTGTTGCTGTTTTGTGTTAGTGGTTATGAATCGAGTGGCTATGTGTGTATGTATCCGGCTATTTGAAATTTTTATCTACTCTTCAACATCAAATAAGTTTTAAAATACCAAAAGCCTTGAATATATTTTTTAAAACTATTTATGTATCAACACTTTTTGTGCTAGAAAAAACTAAAATAATATATATTTGTTGACATGTTTGTCTTATAGTAACAAAATGTTTTACCTTTGTTTGTTTGGTGCATGTTAGATGAGAGAGACTTTGTTACTGAGTGGCTTTATTGTCACATTTGGAACTTAAGGGCACCAACTTTGTTCATTTGTACCTTCAATATTGTATGTAACTTCATTGTTATATTTGGAACTTATGTATAAACCCATAATGCTCGATGCTTATTGTTGGTCTGGTACAAATAATGGTTATCTATTTTAACTTTACATCATCTATTTAATCATATAGTTATGTATATATTTGTTTTATAGCATAAATTCAAAATCAAAATATGTATAAATATAAAATTCATCAGCAACAAAATATATATTTTATGGTATTTATAACAATCTACCTATTTGATGATTTATATGGTTTTACCTATATTTGTTTTAGTAAGATAGATTTTAAAAACATGATAGCGTATCTATATTTTTAAATTAAACTTAAACATATTTTTATTTTAACCAAAGAGACATCATATTTTTTATTTTGAACCTTAGTTGGATTGATTTTTTATTCTTATTTCATTATTCGGTTTAATGATCTAAGAAGTTGATTAATTGATATAAACATTCACTAATTTACGAAAATTAGCATTTTACTTTTATTTAGCAAGATGGTATTTACCATTAGTGTTATATAAACTTAAACGAAGGTATGACCAAAAAGAAGCTATCCTCCGGGCAAAAAAAAAAAAAAAAACTTTTAAAGGAAACTGATTTCCGACAGAAAACTAACTATTGTTTTCCAACTGCAAAATAATCACCTAAAGTAAACTATTCAGTAAAAAAGACTATCGTCTGCCTCTTTGGACATTCTCTAGAATATTACATGTTTCCGGTAGGCAACTAATTTTTGAAAGGAAATTATTTTCCTAAACGAAGCTATTTACCAACTTTTTTTGTCACCGCAATCTCTTTAGAATATAATATGTTTCCTAATGAAAAAACATCAACATATCGTATTTTTAACTCATTTGAATCACACTGACATCTTGGTATTCCTACAATCTTTGGGTGATGATGTTGATGATCTTAATATTCCAAAGATAGATCAAAATGTTGATTTAGAATTTAGAGTTTTTCGTGAAGTACACGAAGAATGCTCTATGGTTATAAAATCTGAATGTTTAGTGACCCAATATTTTCTCTATCATGAACAAAAATTTGCTTATGATGAGATCATAGAACATGTCGATAAATGATATTCTAGGAGTGTTCTTCATAGACGGTCCCGATGGAACAGAACAAACATTTTTTACAAAGCTTACTTGCTAATATCCGTTCGTGTGGTCATATTGCACTCGTCACCGCTTCATCGGGTGTTACGGCTAATAACATGCCAGGGGGAGAACAGCTCACTCTCGCTTTAAAACTCCAAATGTATGTATTTATCTAAGGGATCATTTTTCTTGCATTGCCAACTTTATGTGGCATTGTCCGGAGGGATTTCACGTTCCGATACAAAGGTTTTAGTGAAGCTTGACGGAAAATTCAACGACAGTAAAATCTATACATCAAATGTGGTGTATAAAAAAGTATTGCACAATTAATAATGCACAATCAATCAGGGTTCGTATGCATTAGTAAAATGTCCCAACTTTTTCGTTTTTAGTTTTTATGGATTTCATTTATGCTAGCATGACTCTCATTGATAATTGTTTAGATGTAGTAAATTATTTGCGCAAAAAAACTAATTGCTATCAAACTAATTTCTGAAAAAACTATTAGCACTCGGCGCTTGACGCGGGTAAACGGCTAGTATATATATATATATATATATAAAAGGGTCCTATATCTAGACTCTAGTAGCAAGTATAATTTTTTATTTTTCTCCCTTGCAATCTACTAATACGAAAACATAAAAGTGATAAATTATATTATAAACTTACAACTACAATTTACATAATAAAGAAATAAGCATATAACAATATCATCTTAGATCATCCAATCTTTCTATTCTAATAAAAAAATATAATCTTTTTCAGGAAGATATATTAGGCAAATCAATTCAAAATTTAAATTTAATTTTTCTAATTATATATTAAATTTGAAGTTACAATGATTTTAAAATTTTGATATATCTCTTAATAAAATTTTTATTTAAAATAATTGATTAATAATTATGATTTTTTACTATGAAAATTAAATTAATTTTATAACTATAAATCCACATTTTATAAAAACATCAAAAAGAAGTTAACAAATTAAGAAAACATTAATCCACAAATACATAACAACAAATGAAAACTCAACAAATTAACAGGGAAAAACAATCAAACAGATGATGATTTGAAGATGAACCCTAAAGAATCCTTTTATTCTAATAAAGGAATAATTTTTTTTTGACATGTGTTATCGTATTAGATTTCTAATTAATATCATGTCAATTGTCAACCTATTGATTTTTCATATATATATATATATATATATATATATATATATATATATATATATATATATATATATAAATAAAGTTAATATAGATTCTAAAGTGATATAATTTAACGTATTTATTTAAATCAACGATTATAATTTTATATGATTAAAAAAAATCTTTTAATTAATAATTTATTTAAAATATTTAATAAATAATTTTAAAATTTTACTATAAAATTTTAATTAGTTTTATAACCGTAATTTTTAGACATTATAAAACAGTTGAATTAATGATTAACAATAACCAAATGAAATAAAAAACATTGAATCAGGATATCATCCAGGAACATTCAAACAGTCATTAATATTTAATAATCCTACGACCAATAACCATATAACAAAGTATGTAAGCCCAATCAATTAGCATTAACAATTAAGTGGTGCAAGACGCAACATTTGACTTTTTTCATGGTCATTATTTCTCACCATTCAGTTAATTAGGGCCCTATATATAACGACCTATACATGTTTACATCTCCATATTACTTGCAATCTTGTCTATTATTAATAACAAACACGATCACGGCAAAGTCCCAACGATTTGGAAGGATTAGGCAACTTCACACAATCATATCTCAAGAAACCATTAAACCATCTTCCCCAACACCTCTACACCTCAAAACTCATTACTTTTCTTTACTTGATCGAAGTGCTCCTGACATGCACATCCCATTTGTTTTCTTCTACCCAAACTACAAAAAAGATGACACCAACATTCTAAAGCAATCGCTATCAAAGTGTTTAGCACAATACCACCCTGTCGCTGGCAGGATTCCAACCCCTCCTGAACCTTACATCAACTGCAATGACGAAGGTGTCGAGTTCTTGGAAGCTTAATTTTAACGATAGCCCACTAGATGACTTCATTCACAAGAATGTGCAAGACGAATTCATAGACCAACTCTTTCCTTATGGCCTCACTTGTACTCCTCAAGCTTCTAGCCCTATGCTGCTCAAGGTTCAGCTTAATCATTTTTCCGGTGGTGGAGCCGCCGTTGCTCTGTCCATGTCACACAAGTTTGCTGACGGAGCAACGATAGCCAACTTCATTAACCATTGGGCCACTGTTGCACGTTGTGGGTCACCCATAAACCCATGTTTCATTTCATCTTCCAAAACTGATAACACTAGACTGCCTGATTTCATTGTTAACGACTTGGATAAAGGAAACTATGTTACGAGGAGATTTGTGTTTCCCAATTCAAAACTACAGGAGCTCAAGAACAAGGTTATTGCCATGGGCTCAGCTCCAGTCAACCCTACTCGAGTCGAAGTGGTGACATCTCTACTATTTAAACACGCAGTTAGTGCAGCTACGACAAGTTCAGGTTCTTTAAAGCCATCAAACTTGACTATAACAGTGAACATGAGGAACAAATTTGTTGAAATGTATCCTGAAACAGCAGCAGGTAACTTATCTATGTATGGGGTAGCAAAGATGGATAATTCCGGTAGAATCAAACTGGGTGAGGTGATTGCTAGGATAAGGAAAGCAAAAATGGAACTTGAGGGAATAAAAGATGAGCAAGAATTAGTTCAAAAGTTTGCAAACGCGATATCAAACTTACAGGGTGATCTGTATTATATTACAAGCGTGTGTAGGGTTCCATTTTATCAAGTGGATTTCGGGTGGGGTAAACCAGTAGAAGTAAGAGTACGATTTCCAAATGTTAGTAAGAATGTTATCGTTTTGATGGATACTGCATCTGGAGATGGTATTATGGCACATGTGCAACTGCCAGAAGAAGAAATGGTCATTCTTGAGAAGGACAAAGAGTTTCTTACTTATGTAAAAGACAATTGAAAATGCATTCGCCGTTTGTTTGTCATCAATAGATTCAAAAGTTACCGTCTTTTTTACATAATATGAAAATAAGTTAGAATTTTTAAAATATTTTAATATTTTATACGAACAGAATTTTTAAAGTATTCTAATAATTTAATAGAATTGTTACAAGTAAAATTTTGTTACATATTTCATATATATATTTATAAAAAAACAGTAATTTTTTTTTAATATTCATTTATTTATTTTTAATATAAAAAATCACGAAATTAATACTTTTTTTTTTTCAAAATTTTAATTTATTCTGCATTTTAGATTTTTCTTTTTTGTTTTTTGTCTTCAAAATGACGTGCTATTATTATCAACAATTTATTTATTTTCGCTGAAAAACGCTCAATCGTACCGGTGCAACGGAGGAATGATAATATATATATATATATATATATATATATATATATATAGAGAGAGAGAGAGAGAGAGAGGATTGAGTTCATGTGAGATAATGATATATTGTGAGACATGGAGATAAAATCTAAACCATTAATCTACCATTATATATAAATGAGATTAAATCAAATTAAAACAAAAAGAGGCGGTATCATTTTTGCAATTCTATCAACCTTTGGGATTAATGAAAGACACTGAGGGGTAGTATCATAACTTTGTTATTAATTGATCTAGAGTCGTGAGTCAACCAGATTCATTCATTCTTCACTCACTAGAAAACACTCACCCTCCAACGAACCATAAAAACCAACTTTCTTCCCAATCTGCAATCCTGATTGAAGAACTTACCATGATTCGATTTTATCTCATTCTGATTCTACTTCACACTACTCTTTCGAAAATCACTAAATCGATTTGATTTTGATTATGAAATATTTCTTCAAAAATCCTTGTTAAAAGCCTAAGAATAAATTATGATTCATTCTCATTTTGATTTTCAACGTTCATATACAGATTCTGGTTTTGAATTGTGATTATATTTTGCTTTTATTGATTCAAATTTTGTTAACAATATTTTTTTTTCTTCCAAATCTCTTAAGAAAAAACTGAATAAACTGATTTTGATTATTATTTTGAAAAACGTGATATCATTTTTTTTATCAATCAAAGCTTGAATACATCTAATTTTGGATCTCTTGATTCCAATTTTGATCATAAAAATGGATAGTTCAACAATCAAATAAGATGGCACTAATATCTCGTCTAGTTTGTTTTTATGATCATGATTCTCGATATTGATTCTAATTATTATATGATTATGATTTATGAAGCACTTTTATGAATTTGTGTATTGTAGCAATTTACTTGTTTACTACAACTATGGTTAGTCTTTGATCTAACTTTACTTTAGCTATGGTTAGCAATGAATTTCGGAATTTCATAATCTTTAGTACCAAATGTTTAATATAACTTTACTGTAGTCACAGTTAGCGATAAACTTATTTAAGTAGGTTTATTTTTTTTATAGAATTTGTTTACTACACCTAGGTTTATTTTAATTGTTATGCTATTGTTCCAAATGATTAATGGTTGTTGTTAAATTAACATACTTTGTAAGAGAATATGTTACTTGTTGATGTTTTACCTTGTTGCAATAGTAACTAAACTGTTAACTTAAGATACTCTACAACGAATAAATTAGTTTAAAAACATAATATATTACTCTATAGTAGAATAAACTAATTAATAATGTTATGGGTTATTGACGTTTACCGTTCTAAACTTATTTAAGATACTTTGTAATATAATCAATTTATGGAGTTGAAATTCATGTTAGTAAGAACACATAAGCAATAATAATTGTATAAACCCTAGTTCCACAAATTCGATTAATTATCTACCGGTACAAATTTTGTGAAATGGGTTATTATATATGACTATTCTAAGTATTTTGATTAGTATAGTTTCATTTCTATATGTTATTTTGTCTGATTAATTAGATAATCTAGTAAACAGTAAGTACATTTGTGTTTGGTAACTTGACATTTTATATATTCTAATTTGATAAGTTAGATGTTCCTTTTAGATGTTATTTTATTTGATTAATTAGATGATCTAGTAAAAATTTAATAAAATAGTGTTTGAGAACTTGATATTCTAGATATTCTAATTTATAAGTCAAATTTTTTATAACTTTGATATTTTAGGTATTTGGATTTTATAAGTCAAATATTTCTTTCTAATTTAGTTTCGAATGTTATTTTGTTTGAATAATTATATGATCTTGTAAAAAGAATTTAGTAAAATAGTGTTGATAACTTGATATTCTAGGTATTCTAATTTGATAAGTTAGATGTTTCCTCCTAATTTGAGTTAAGAACTTGTTTTATTGATTAATCGAAAATTTACTTCCTAATTTGATAAGTCAAAGCTAATTCATATACTAGTATTACTTTATGATATAGTTATTGTATTTTATAAATCAACACTAATTTGAGATTTTTTTTGCTAAATGCTCTTGAATTATTCTTGATTTTGATTCTAATTATTCTATGATTATGATTTATGAATCACTATTGTGAAATTGTCTATTGTAGCAACTTACTTGTTTACTATTTACTAGACCTATGGTTAGTCTTTGATCTAACTTAGCTAGGGTTTACAAATAATTTTACAATTTCAAAATCTTCAATACTAAATATTTAATATAACTTTATTGTAGCCATATTTATATTAACTTTTTTTAGATAGGTTTATTTCTCTTAATAAAACTTGTTTACTACCATGTTTATTTAGATTAAGTTGTTATTATGAATAACTGATGTTTTTTTTGTTGATTTAAGATATTTTATCAGATAAAATGTTATTTTTTAATATTTAGCTTGCTGAAACTGTTTGAACTTTATTGTTAACTTAAGTTATTCTATAATGAAATACCTTAGTTTAAATATAAAATATATTACTCTATAATAGAATAAATTAGTTGAGAATGTTCTCAATGATTTATGTTTGTTGTTCTAAACTTGTTCAAGATAGTTTGTAACTTAATCTATTGGTTATATATAACAAAATATATTACTTGATAATAGTCTGATTTTTATGTTTGTAATTATACATAGAATGTTATTCAAATATGTTAATTTGTTGATTAATGACATAATCTAGTGGTAAATCACAAAAATAAGATTTGGTGATGTAACGTCCCAAAAATTCATAGTAAAATTTTCAATTTTAAAATAGTAAACCATACAAATGAGTTGTTCCAAAACCATTCAAAATGATTATGTCAAATAACATCATATTAAAATCATAAATAGCCAATGTGAAAAACTATGGGATATGTTATGCAGTCACATCGAACCCTTCCCTTTGGAATAGGAAGTACCTGAAACCATAAACATAAAAACTGTAAGCACAAAGTTTAGTAAGATCCCCAAAACACCACCTACCATACATAGAAAAGAGAAAGTCATGTGTCAACCATAGTCTTACAATTACTATCATGCCATGAGTTGTGTCATGGTCTTTCCTTGCTAAGTTGGGAGCCAACGACCCAATTCTTACAAACAAGTGCCAAGAGTCACCTCCTGGTCTTTCATGCAAGCATCAAAAAGATAAATAACATCTTACATATGATTGTCATGGTCCAGATCCTGGTCTTGCATGCAATTTGTAAGGTGTCATATCCAAGTCTTTCATACAATTATTAGGGGCCACCACCTGGTCTTACTTTATATATAAACCAATGGGTCGGTATTGGTGTCTTCGACCCATAATTATAGTGAGGAGACTCACCTAAATCACAAAGCTAATTAAAACCCAACACAATGTCGCGCTGACCATAGCTAACATCTCTCACTGCCAAAATATGGATGCTAAACGACTTATAACTATCCATACGAGGTAAACCCTAAGTCTACGTTCTAAAAATAGAATTTTGACAAAAAGTCAACCAATGCCAAAAGTCAATGGTCAACGTTGCAACGTTGACTTTAGTCAATCGCCATGTCATGGCCATCCATCACCACGTCGTGGCCCTTATACAGTCAAACAAACGTTCATTTCCAAGTCACCATACCGTGGCAACCCAAGGCCATGCTGTGGGCATTGGGTTTCCAACAACTTAATGGATTAAGCCTTTTCTTTGATTCCAAGAGCTCCAAAGCTCATATCCAGTCCATTTTATGGTCTAGATTGATAAAGTTTCCAACCTTATCCATTAAGACACCCAAAGAGATCAAGATCTCAAACCCTAGGTCCAAACAAAGCTAAGTACAATAATGTCTTAACCATTAAGCCCTTAATCCAAAAAAGTCTTTAACCTAATTACTCTAGAAGAGTTTCTAATACCATATTGGTCATAAATATTGGAGCTTTATAGACATGCATGTCCAATACATTCCTAGAGTCCATTTTAGGTCGACATGAGCATAAAATGACCAAAAACTCATGCAAGGTCAAGAACCCCCAACCAAAGTCTAAATCTGTAAGATATGTTGCTCATGGGACTTAGGGGAGTCATAAAGTTACCAACTTTATGTGTTCATTCCATTTAAACTTGTATAGACATGAAGAACATGGGACAATATCTTAGATCTAACCACTTGAATCTATAAAGTTTGAGCCTTTGACACTTATAAAGGTCCAGAAGCAATGTGAGATGTTTAAGATGTTGTTTCCTTGTAATATCCACCACTTGAGCACCTTCTTCTCCTTCTTCTCTCTTTCTCCAAGACAAAAAATACTTCAAAAGGCCACAAATCACCAAGGGAAATTAGGGCTAGGGTTTCTTTGAGGTAAAAGGGTGTTGGAGGCTGGTAATGAACCCAAGAAATGACTTATAGGGATTTAAATACGAAGGGAACCCTAAAAGAATCATGGGCTTGGTCCAAAACAGCTGCCACACCGTAGTGGCCTAATGTTATCCTGTGGCGGCTCAATAAAATTTGTGTTCCTTTATTCGATGCCACATCGTGGGAATCCTTGTGCCACGTCGTGGCACAAAGTTTTTCCCAAAACTTCATCTTTAGTCCCCTGATAATTATAAAGCTAAACCAGCCTGGAACACGTGT